CGGGAAAACGCGGGCAACCGAGTCGCGACTAGTTTTGAATCTGATTGTTTGAGGGATTCCTGCGAGGTTCTGGAACAATGACAGAGCGGAGTAAAGCAAAACCAAAGCAATACTGAATCACATTTGACATTCAATTGAAAGTTTTTTTGTGTAACATTATCGATACTGTGTTTGACTTTCGTCAGGTCACTGGAGGAGATGGTCACTCGTGGAAAGGTTCAGTGGTAAGCAACACTGCAAAGAGAGTGTCAGTGATGTCGGTGCAAAGACAAGATCTCTACAGTCAGCCAAGAAATGGTAAATGGAAGTTTGATTTTTCACGGCACGCTCATTTGCCACGCGTTTACTTTGCAAACGATCTCAGAAGACCTTAAAACACTGGCCAGCGGTTTGTACCGTAGTTTTCAGTCTCGATACAAGCTGGTGTCACTTATAGTCTTTTACACTGAAGGAACAGGAACAGGGTAGCACAGAGTCAAGTTTGCTAATTTTGATTGTTTTTCCTCCAGGGGACAAAAAAACTTCTTCAGATTTCAACTGCATTGACTCGATTCCATCTGTGGACCCAGCGCCTCGACTGCCCACTCAAGAATTTGACACAAGTGAAAGTATTGCATTGTCTTCCATGGAAAGATTTGTAGGGATCACTCCGAAGCTACAAAAATTACCTGAATCTATTCAACGTGTTCCTCAACTGGTATGGATTCTTTTAAATCAAGTTCGAATATTGAGCTTATTTGTTTTAGAGGTTGCGGTAGAAAAATTGAATACTCTTAAAGTCTTGAATCGGATCAATAGTTTTAAAAACCGGGTTCTCCTCTGGCAATAAAACGGATACTAGGCTTAAACTAATAATAACGGGAGAGATCAGTGCATAGATGGCGGATTGGGCAGATCTTACCGTAGGGTCTTGCAGGAAGCAGAGGACTCTAAAACCCTACAATTGTCGCATGACTCTACCTTGCTCATTGATACATGCCATTGCGTTGCGCGTCTAATGAAATCCTAACAACTTCATGGTGCAACAATGCTTGGAAACCGATGTTACAAGACACGAGTTGCTGAGTGTCATTTTCTTTCGCCCATCGCCAATAGTGTAAAGCCCTAATGATATCTTCTGGAAGAAAACGCCATGTGTGTATCGACGGTCAGTTATCAAGATCGAGCCATGCTACAACTTTACAGGAAAGTTACACTTGAAAAAGAATTTCCTGTTCCGTGACGGTGTTCGTTTTCATTTTGCAGCCAAGACGAAAATGTCCATTTATTACCATGCCGCCTAGTGATCACAGTCTGCCGCGGACGGTTTTTCCAAGCACGAATAAATACCTTCATACAATGACTGAGCCAAATTTAACGGAACTTCCTGAAGTTTGTCGCCAAACAGCTAAACCAGGTGGTACACGCGGACAGGCACCACACCAGGGGGGAAAAGAGCAACCAGACGATATGAACTTGGGAAACTTTCCCGAGAAAAGACGAGATACAACGCATTCTGTAAAACTTGGCTCTTGTCGACGTATAGGTTTAAGGAGGGTGGGGTTAGGATCTTCATGTGACACCTCAAGTGGTCAAGATTTGTTGTCTCAGGCAAGAACACCACCAAGTCAGACTAAGGAGGGATTCAGACCTCCTACTACTACAGTTTTTATTGCTAACAGTTCATCTGGAGACGTAAGTGAGGCCTAATAACATTGAAGAAATATTTAAAGGGACTCGAACTGTGGAGAAAAAGGGCAAAAATATTATAGTATGCTGATCAGAGAGAGGGTTGGTTAAGGTATTTGTTATTGTTTTTGTTGTCGTTGTTGTGACCAAAGGTAACCGTACATTATCATCTCTCGAAATAGCGCAACATGGCTGGTGAATTATCTTTTCCATCATCCGAACATTGTAATGGTAGTGTCACGCCGACTCGACATGTGACTGTCCCTGTTACATTCGACAATGTCACGCAGTATAAGCAAGTCTTCAAAGCGGCTTTGAGAGGTAACGGGACACCTTTGTGATTTCACTTGTAATTAGTCATGGTACAGAATGAATAACTTTAGAAAGAGAGAGACCATATATTCAGGATTTTGTATGATTCTTTGTTTTTCTCATAAAAATAGATAGATTCAATAGAATCGAACCTCATGCCGATCATGTATGTTTTATTTATGTACATGACATAAGGTCAGGGTGCATTCGAACTTCGTTTATCACCGCGCTAGCAGACACTCTTGCCTACTGCGTTTTGCACGTGAAAAAATAAACAAAGGAAAAAAAATAACTGGAAAAAAAGCTGCAACTGTAGAAAAAGCAACAAACAAGCAAACAAAAAAATATAGTTACAGGTACACATCTCATTCATATGAGGTTTGTTAATTAGTTTTGAATAACTAATAAAAGTATCATTTTGGTAAACAAATAGAGCACCTGAACATAGTTTTGTTTGAGCTGGCCCGAACTTACCACACCGCTCTTCAGAAGATTGATATATCAGGATATGACACCGCTCAGCAAGGTATGCTATAGTGTATCATGTGCACAATCTCTTAACTTGATGATTTTATCACAATGATAAAGCTAGAGGTAAATTGTTCTGTATACAATTCAATCAGTGCGACAATTTTCGTAGGCTTTGTGACAATAGGCATTGTTTGGCAGTAGCCTCCTTTCAGTGTCAACTTAGGGGATGGGCATTTGCAGAACGAGGCAAGTTTTGATGTAACACCTGGTAACACATATCGAACAAGACTTGGCTTCTTGGGCCGTGTGATTTCTTCCTAACTAAACAGGCTTGTTCGAATCTCTTTTTGGTTGAAGGTGGCATAGTCAGGAAAGCTTGTTTTCGCTTTGACCTTGTTTATTTTCCCTTTCTATTGCCCCACCTTTCAAAGCTGAATCTGGAGGAAAGGCGATAGGCAGGCTATGAATATTCAGCTACAATGTTTGACGTTCATTGATGCAAATTTTTTTAATTTATTTACTCTGTTCCGTACTTTACAGGAAGTCGAGAAAACTCAGATGGTCCCAGTTGTCATCATGGTAATATTCTTGCATACTTTCCTTTAATTTGTAATTCAACTTCTACTCTTTTCATAAGTGAACTTTAAAGTAAAAAAGGCGTTTCTCGGAGTTGATGACCAAAAAACAAAAAAAAAACTATCATTAAGATATATGTTTTATACTGGATTCTCTGCAGTCTCGGAAAACCAAAATAAAAGTGATTAGAGGGGCTAATCAGGTGAACCTTGAACGGTTAATCAGAATCATAACAATTGCCATAAATACCTGCATTATGATCAACGCCATGCATTGTAAAACATAGGTGTGATGACATAAGGTCGTCTAAGATTGGTGTTCTTGAATACAGATCTACTGCGCTTGTTTCTAGTTTAGGAGGATTGAATAACCAATGCAGTTTCTCCTTTGAAGAATTTTGCGACTAAAGATCGGAAAACACCACTGATTTAACACTCGCACAAGGTGAAAAATGGGGAACCGAAAAAACGAAAAACCGACCTAGCCAAAACGTCGCCTTCTTCCACTTTTTAACGAATCCAAGAGAGTCAGAGCCAAGGTGAACACTTTGGGTAAAAATTGAAGGCCGTTCAACTTAGCAAAAGTTTTAATCACTATCATTTGTTTTGGCACAATTAAGGCCAAGCACGTTTGAGAGCTGTAAAGAAAGACGGTCCAAATAAGGTCAGTAACCTTTCCGTGTACTATGACAAGTCGCTATGGTGTGACTATTGTTGCCCGGCTCACTTAATCGGAACTGACCAATCCGATCACAGAATACAATCTTTTAATTTCATCTAACCCTTAGCACTGAGTGGTACAGAGGTTCATAAGAATAGTTTCTCGTGACATGATTGGTTAATTTTGTACAAGTGACCACTATTAGAGACATTGTGCCAAAATTCCCGCCCGTTTCCTCCCAGCTTTCTTTTTTTTTTCCATGCTCGAGTTCTATCTAGCTTTCACCCGCGGTTTTTTGAACCGTCGCTCATCTTTAGTCCTTGGTCTGAAGAATTTATTTGTTTGGCCGATCCTGGATATAGACGTGGCATCATAGTCTACATCTGTCTTTCTTCCCAATTTTTTTCTCTTTAATCCTTGGTCGAGGGAATTTTGGATACTGTTACATGCAGATTGTCACCTTTTATTGTTTTCATATACTTTTTACGCAGGGGCGTCTATTTTACACTTGCCCAGGAACAGGACAAGCACAGTGCAAGGTGAAAAAATAATCCATTCCGCAAAGTTGTGTTGTTCTTCGCAGCCGGGATGTCACGTGACTAGCAATATGGAAATCGCGAGGAGCGGCTGTGACGAAGACTAGGAGAGTTGTCAGCTGAAAAATTACTCCTATCAGAATATGCTTCGGCGAGACAGAATTTCTAAAATGGACTCTTTTTTAATATATCCTTTTTTATACCAGTGCACTCGTCTAACGTTTCGTGCAAGTGAGGCGAATTGGGAAGCCGTTGCTTTACGTTTGTAAGGATCTCAATAATAACTAAACTAAAAGGGCAGGTAGTTTGGTGCGCACGTCAACAAGGGAGCGGTTGGCGGACGAGGTGTGTTTGTGTTGGGGGAAATATTATGTGCGCTGATCATTTTAAATTTTTTTTTAGTTTTTTAAGTGGGCCGACGAATATCAATCCAGCAAGTCAGCATCAGAAGGGACGGAGCGAAGGTCTTCAAATAAGATCATACTGTCATCCGCTGACAGCTTAATGTCTTTCTTTAGAAGTCATGTAAGTTAGCCAAATTCATCAACAAAGAGAAAAAGACTTATGCTATTATTATCACCGGAATGAAGAAGACGAGGACACATACAAAAAGGAAAAATGAATAAATAAAAATAAAGAATCATAGTATTAATTACAAAAATTCACAAGTACAACACGACTGTAATTTTAAGTTAAGCTATTTGTATGTCACTGAATGATATGTTTCTTCCTTAGAATGTTTCGTTTTATGGTGATTGCCATCTATTAAGGAAACAGTCAGACGCTGGGAAAGGAAGATTTGGCGCAGCAAAGGCTAAGGTAACGCCCTAACGTAACACACCCGTCAGCGTTATTGGCTTAGTGAAAATTAAGTGAGGAAAAATTATATAGTGTGTCTGCATTGTGTCCTTTTTGATATTTTCTAGAAATGGGGAAGGCTAAAATGCGATGAAGCTACTGCTGGGAAGAAAAAGCTCTCTCTGGAACTCTCGCGAAAAGATCATTCTTCTACTTATTCAAAAGGTGAGCTTACTTACTAACAACCCTCACTTTGCATGTTTGGGCCAGCCGTTAGTTTCAAGGAAGCTGTTATTTAAGCTGCAACCACAAAAACGAAAAAACCAAACTCAACGTAACCTGCGTGAAGGGTTTACAGCCACCTGTAACCACGTTGAGAATAGTTCAGATTTTCCATCTGATTGTTTTATTTATTTGGACAATCGTATAGCTGGATGTTTTAAGGGAATACCGATGCGATTGCCTCTAGATTTTAAAAATGATTTCTTAATTTATACTCTCTTGTTGAAATAATATGGTCAATTTTCCTTGCAGATGACATCTGGATCATTTCAAAGACTTTGTCTTTTAATCCAGATTCGACATTTATAGCGAGCAGTGTTTATTATGGACCATCGTCCGGAGGAGAGCTAGAATTATCACCAATCAGGTCAGTGGCAATTAAACTGCTTGTCGTTCGCTCGCCTCCATCGTAGGAAGGCCTGTAACAGTTCATAACACTGCTTACATACAGTTTCACATTCAAAAAGTCATCACGTTTTGCTTTTGCTCTTATAGACTAACTTATTGATTATGCGTGGCATTCGTATGTTCACTTTACTAAATAGAAATTAATTTAGCTGTTTTCTTTTTTTAGGCGTCTCTGTAGGCTTGAATCTTGCTTTTCGGTGTTCCTTAAACGCGCATGCTGTAAGATAACTTTGTTCTTTTGTTTCGTTTCAGTGGATATTCTCCCTCAAACTGGCAAAGTGAAGGTTAGATAACTCAGTTTTTTTGCGATTTTTTTTGTTTGTATGTTTTGTGAAAAATAGTTATAGTAAGCTGCAAACTAACAAAACAAAGTTTATTCAAAAGGGAATAAACGAAAGATATCGGAGTGTCGTTCAAAAGTGTCTTGACGGATATAGTCGTTTATAGTGAGTTGTGTTACAATAATAATAATAATAATAATAATTACTATTATTGTTATTATTAAAATAATAATCGTAATAATATTTATACGGGATAACCCCGTCCGTGCAATAAGTAGTGGTATCAAAGGAGGCCCTGTCATTATTACTTCGAATCGCGTTATGTCAGAGGTTTCTAAAAGAGAAAAGCACCTCCCTGCTTGTGTCTTAAAAGCAGGGAGGCGATGTTCGACATGTTAAATATAAATGGATTTTTTCCCTGAACAGAGACCGTGCATGCCTTGATGGCCTGCAATGCTGGTACAGAACTGACTTGTATTAGTAACATTGACGAACATGTCAAGATGCAGAACATGCCAGTGTTACCGTACCTTCTGCAAAGGTAGGAACTCATTACTAGTGTCCGCTTTTTTCAATGAAGAGATCCTATTTGTTTGGAAATGTGATAATATATAGTCTCATGAACAAATAGATTCAATGTTACCCTGGTTCTATTGAGTAGTAGATTACAGATGACGTCAAAATGTGGTAAGAAGTGAAAAAGTGGCACTTGAGGCGAAGCCGAGAATGTTACGAGAATATTTTTATATATTATTACTTAAGATACGTTAGGTCTGTCTAGGCTAGCTTATTCTTTTACTATAATTGTTAAAGAAGCTCCGTCACAGGTCATATAACGTGAAAGATTTACCCTAAACGTTTTAATGTGGTCATTCGCAATCCCTGGTGATTGGCTTCATTCTTATTCTTTACCCGAGTGTTCTACTCATTTCGGCGTTTTTCTATCGTACTAAACTAAGGGGGTTTTCCCCTTGAAAGGTTGAGGTGTTTCTTTTATTTTCTTGTTGTAGAAACTTCATCAGAGTACGCGACGTAGAATCTCTCCTTTGTGACGAGATATCCAAACTTCGGTCACGGTTTTGATTAATTGAATTCTTCTAACCAAGCGAAATTATTTTTATTCAAGAGGGTGAATCAGGGCACGAATTTGTTAACCGCGTGATGATGTTGTAGACAAGTAAATATCTCGCGATAAACACAAAACTTTACTCGATGGAATTGGTTGGCAATTTCTTTTCTAAACCCTTGGTATTTTTTTTTGTTTGAGCTGGCAATTTGGGTTCTTGCATTAAACGAAAATGACGACCCCTTCGTCCAGGTACTTTATTTCTGTCTTAGAAAGAAAAAGAGAGGGCTCACATACATATTGACTTTATGCTTTTTTGTCAGAGGACTGACGGGGCAACAAAGCATCAGATGCGCCTCAAGAGCAGCTTCTTTTGTTCCGCCAATTCGTACAGGTTCCAGTGGTCCACTCAACCTTCCTCGTGAAGTAACGGTAGGCTAACGTTGTCTCCTTGTGACAGATTTATTTTGCTTCTAATCCTGATGCCTTGAGGACTCTGCGCTAGAAATGTAAAGCTCAACATTAATTTGGGTGTCTGGAGAGGCTGCGGGAACGTGACCGCCAACGGTTCAAGTAAAATAGAAATCAGTGTTAAAACTCCTCGGTCAGTTGTTCTCCCCCCTCCCCCTCTCCCTCCCCTTCCCCCGTCCCCTCTCCCCTCTCTTCTGCTTCTTTCAATTGGCCTCTCTCTCGTTATTTTCTCTTGAAGTCTTGGTTAGTTATGGAAACGACAATTTTTTAAAACCCCGCTGAAGTGAAGTAGGTGAATACGAAATGAAGATCTTTTTACGTTAACTGTAACTGTCTTGAACGACTGAGAGACTGCGAAAAATTTCTGAGGCTGCAAAGTTAATATTTCGAAAATTCTATCCATCACAATCAATTCTTCCACGCCCAAAGGCAGAAAATAGTTAAATAAAACACAAACCAACATACAAACTACATGTAGATAATACCGACACTTATGGATTTATGTGGACGTTGTAACAATAATTTTATTTTTGCTTCAGGAAAGCATTGCTGAAGAAATGATAGCTCGTTTTGGCTTGAACAAGGTTTGTTGTAAATATTAATATACAGTTGAGTTCCTTAGTATTTGTAGTAATTCTTGTGAGTAAGTTAACATTTGGGTAATTATCCTTCTGCAGGATCAAGCCGCCGCTCTGCTGTCCTGTGCACTTATGTTCTCATCGGAATCGGAAAGGTCTTCAGCACCAGTCTGTTTGATACATGGTACGATTCTCTATTCAACAACTAGAGAACGCTGCTTTAGCAAAAAGTAAAATCAATTTTTAATAACGAACAGAGCTTATGAGATCATCTATCGATTAGCAGATTTCCGAGGTATTACGCATACGCTGATCATTATTTGCAAATAGTTATTTTCAGGTCACGTGATGGTTTCTTAGCCAATGAAAATAAGCCAAAAAATAATCGAATGATGACCATATTTAAGTTTAGTTATTGACATCGATCATGCTTGTTTTACAGTATAATGATGGTACCGAAACAAGATAGTGAAGGTTTGTTTGTGTTATAACGGCGGTCTCTTCTTTCTCTTAGGTGTTTTTGGAGCGGGAAAAAGTTTTCTGCTTGCAGTCGTGGTTCTCTACCTGGTGGAATTGTTCAAAGCCAACGATTCTTTCAATCAACAAAGGTAACATCACCTTTGTGTCAGTTCAAACTTCTATATGCTTTAAATGTCAAACATACGAACAAACCTGACTTAAAGTAAAACCAAGGGAAATCTCCTGGAGATTTCCTTGAAGTTTGCTACTTATTCGTGTACCCTCCAATTTATAATCTCACCGACACTTTCGTATCTATACTTATGTTTTTCATTTTTGCTTCCCAGTGACAACGTGTCTTCATGGAAGATTTTGGTATCCTCCACAACAAATGTAGCGGTGGATCGCATCTTGTTAGGGTAAAATCTGATGATTAAAAAATCGGATTAGTGTTAGTATCTGAGCAACTGCACACCCACCTCTCTTCTAACCTAACAACAGTCGACCGATAAAAAGTTAGGGTTAATTTTGAGTTAGGGGAGGGGTAGGTGCGTAGTTGCTCGCATACTGACATTGATCCAAAAAAAGATTATAATCTAAAATAAGCTGATTGATAGATTTTCCTTACCGTAATTTTTTTTGTTTGTTTTCACGCTGAGATTACCGGAATGGTGTTGGCTTCAGGAATCTTTCTTTATTCCCTTTTAGATTGCTTGACCTTGGCTTTGAAGAGTTCGTTCGTGTGGGAAGCATTAGAAAGATCGCTAAGCCAGTGTTGCCGTACAGTGTGCATAGTACAGGAAGTGATAGCCAAGAGTTAAAAGAACTACAGTCACTTCTGAAGACCGAGCTTACCCCTTCAGAGAGAACGTAAGCACATGTTATTGCATAGAAAATGAAATCTAACCGAAACCTACGTTCACTTCTGTAGAGTGCTTTATTTGACTTTCCCTCGGTCAATGTTTTCACGAGGAACAGGTTACTGAGTCGCCTTCTTGTTTGACTTTGTTGTGACATTTTTCTCAATGTGTGTAAGTTGTGGATATTTTCTTATTTTAGCCACGTGAGGAAAGGTATTGAACAACACAAGCTAGGAGAAAATAAACGAGTGAGTAGAAAAGTAAACAGGCAAACGAACAAACGAACAAACGAACAAACGAAAAAAAAAATTGTTTCTGTTTTTCTCTATGACGGGAAAGAAAAATGGTGTTTGCTGTTTGTCCGTATTTTGACATGTTTTTTGCCAAGGTTGGTTTGCAGCTTTTAAATCTCAGTAACAGTTTTATACTCTCTTAATCAAGACAACAGCAGTAGATGAATTTTACGGTAGGTAATGAGTTTAAGTGCATTCATTTCTTGGGTAATTCTCAATGTCCATAAATTTCTAATTTTTTTAATTGTAAAATGAATGGCATGACGTTCTTTATCTTCCAATTTTTGTTCAGAATTATGAAAGAAAACGTCGGCCTCTTATCTGTTCCGTGGCCTTTTCTTGTTTGCTCAGTCTGTTGTTTTACCTGTAAAACGTCAACAAGATAATTTACCACTCACTCATGCTCCACATGCAATGTAAACGCATTTGTCTCGACGCTAAGCAGGTCAGGCAGTTAAGAAAATCTCCAACAGTTGACAATTTCTGTACATTTAAAACCGATAGTTATCATTACCAAATGGTAATTGACTTTTATGGGCTTATGGGTAGTTTTTCCTTTTTTTTTTTTTTCGTCTCGTCGAATCAGCCAGTTAACCTTTATTTTCCCAGAAACCATTTGGATTGAAAGTTTTAAATCAGTTGTATTTGTTTATTTTGACATGAAGTGCTAGAATACAGTTTCGAGTTAAAACGAACTTTTACATTATCAAAGATTTGTGGTACTTGATTACCGACTTCTTGCACGAAATAAAGAGAACATTCATTTTTACACCGCACAGTTCATGACTCAGTACGAATAAATCCACTCAGTTTTTCTACCACAAACACACAGCAATTTGAAGGTGAAAAAACTATCTTTTCATTAAAGAGCGGAGATTATGCTTGAATATTTGCAAGGCTGACTTGCCGGCTGTTTTCCGCGCTAACTCTAACGCGAAGTCCAAACAAGCACGGGAGAGACATTTTAAAGCCGTTTCTGTAATTAGAACTTTGAAATGCGTACAACACAGGATTCAGGGAAGAGCTCAGGTACATTAGAAGCTTGACAACTTCGAAGCCGTTCGAAAGTGCGTTTTTTCCGTCATCACCGAGCTTATCCGCGTAATTCGACGCTAGAATCATCATGTACAAACCAAACGGGAGAAAACAGGCATAAAACACAACTGTTACTATCATCAGAAGTTTCACGATCTTCCTCTTGGATTGGAGATCTCTGGGATCAAAGGTCCTTGCACTGTTCGCATTGTTAAAATGAAGTGCGTTGATGACTAACGCGTAGCAAAAACTGATGATAATGATTGGGAAAAAAATGTTCACCGTGATAATAACGACCACGGCGTCTCGCATGGAACGGGCGGTGTCGTTGCTCGTCCACGGACTTTCACAACTGCATCTGACTTCATTAAACGTCGTTTCAATGAACGCTGGGATCTGTGCGACGCTCGCCGCCACCCATGTTGTTGCTAATGCGTAGACCACGTTATTTTCATTTATCCATGGCGGTTGAAACGGCTTGACGAGCGAATGATAGCGCTCGATTGCCAACAAACTCAACGTATACACGGATACCGCCAAAGTAATAGCCGCCATGTTGCTAGCGGTCACAAACTTGCACAACCACTTCCCCATTTCTTCCGAAGGGTGTGCGTCCACGATATCGAAATAACGCTTTGGAAGAGACCAGATTAGCGAGAGAATATCAGACACTGCTATATTGACCAACATAATGTTCGTAGTGGTTCGCATGTGACGGTTCTGTCGGACGACATTGATCACCAAAGCATTCCCAGTGATTCCCAGTATTGCTATAACGCTATAGAAGACAGCCAAAGCTACCTCTACTTCTTTATCATTTCCGAGAAAACAGAAGCGAGGTTCTACGGTGGAGTTGGAGTTATCAGCCATGGGGTCAAACTTCACAACACACTTGAGGCTTCGTTGAATTTGAATAAAGCTGTGTAAGTAACGAAGATGACCTACATCATTTTCTGTTTACACTTCGAAGACGCATTTAACTTAAACTAAAGTTTGATTTGTTTGATTAAACAAAATTTTCCTGGCCATGTTTTGAACGTTTTAGCTTAGGTTAACTTGTCAATACTTTGAAGGGAAGCTAGTTAAAAACTGCTCTTTGCATTTTTTTTTATCTTAAGTGTGAAACAAAAAATCATACATTTTAGATTGAATTTTTTTAATCAAAACGTAATAATTGCCAAAAATATGATTTGTTGCTTCTGATTACTTCACTTATCACCGACGCTTAAACATACATATGTATTATGCTTCAAAGTTAAGAAGATTAGAAATACAATTGCATGATTTAACGCAAATAAATTTGGAAAGTTGATTTGCTTTCGACTTTTGTGTTTCTTCATATTTTTTAGTTTATGAAGACTTTTACAATCTTTGTTGTGTAGTCCTTACCTATATTCCTCTAATATTCTATCCAAGGGGGTCTTAAAAGTTGATAGCTGTATGTTTTCCCCGTCCCTTTCGCGTCTGCTCTCTTTCCGCCTATTGTGCAATAAAATAAAAATTATCTGATTACGTCTGAGTACAATCGATTTACTTTCGCCTAAACTGCTTCCTGACTTCATTCATATTATTCTCATGAATTTGAATATAGATCACACGATAACTGGAATTATTGCTCCCTTTGTTTATTCACCTTTGAGTTGAGAGTACTCTGTGAAACGGCGGAATATTTTTTTCCCTTAATTCAGCTGTAAGGCAACAGCAAACCGAGAAGCCAACTTACCTATCTCTTTCTTTCCTACATGAAGTGATCTGGTGTATTCCTTCTCAGCTTCATGTAGAGCTAATCCGTCCTACACCGTGGAGGGTAGCCAAGAGTGTGATTCTGATCCCGTTTCACATACGAATTCTAGAACAATTCACGCGTCACGTGTACTGAAAATAATTTTCCACGGGTCACGAATTCTAAAGTAGACTTTCAAATCTTA